CTCTTTCTTCCTAGTCTGTCTTTGTTTGGAAGCTCATCTGAAACCTGTCCACCATGGGTGACCCTGCTGGTTATTTAAAATACTGGTGGCATAGCTCTCAGAATCACAGCAATTCAAACCACCACAGCACGACAGACAAGATGAGTGGCGGTTGCGTGGTTGCTGTTAAATAGCAATCTCCTTGTGCTAGGGCCGTTAAGTCCGGCTCAAAGGCAGGATTTCTGTCCTTGGATGTCAATCAAGAGGCGGAAGCACAGCAGGGGTGACTGGGTTGTAGTGAGATGCTTTGGGCTTGGCTTGTGGGTCTCTAAGTTAGTCGACCCCGCCTCAAAACCATGATCCAACGGTTAGGCCAGGACGGCACTCTCGTGTCCGGGGTAAGTAGGGCAGCCTGGCCTGCCCCTGCACTCTCTTTCCGCTAGGCAGTGTCTCCCCATCTACCTGGTCTTCAGACACCTCTCACCCTGATGCTCCGTGGTCTGGGTTTCATTTAACACCTCCACCAGGTCTGTGCAGTTCTCGCACATCGTTTAGCCGCTGCCCTCCATGATAGAAGCCCTCGTGCCCTACCCCTAATAGGTTTTAAATTTAAACATAGGTTGATAGCTTTTACTTCTAAATCTCCCAAAGTACATAGCACAGTGTTATTCCCCAAGTAAGTCTGACTATACTTTCTCTATAAATATAAATATATAAGTATGCATGTGTGTGTGTGTGTGTGTGTGTGTATATAAAATGGGAAAATAGGCTTTTGTATCTATAAATTTTGTATCTATACATGTTTACATGTGACTGAATATCTTTATAGCTCTATAACTAGCTGTGTTATTCTCTAATCCATATGCATATCAGTTCTGGAAATAGCAAACTCCAACCCAATAGCTGGTATGTACCTTTTCTGTCCCATCTACAGCAGTTTTTTTAGTCTTCCCCTTCATGTTTCTAACCTTAACTCTTCCTCAGAAACCTGAAGAGACAGCTGCACGGAGGGTTTGACCACAACCTCAGTGGCAGTGAAACGGTATTGAAAGAAGAAGCCTGGACACTGACGTGACAGGGAAGAAGGGGAAATTCTGTGCGCTTGTTAGGACAAGAAATGATCTAGCCAAGCGATGAGGAAAGATACTAGGTAAAATATGAGGTAAAAATATTTTGAAAGAACAGAAAAAAAGACAGCAATATTGGCAAAGAAATGTATGTGACAAGGAGGTCAACTCAAAGTATTTTCCCTGACTTCAGAAAACACTGTGGGTCATGAATAGAAAACTCAACCTGTGAGAACAACACTTCTTTAAGTGTCATCTGAGGACCAGAGAAGATCTCCCAAACCCTTTCAAGGCATCAGTGAGAGGCTACTTCTTGGAGAGTACTGACTGTCTCAGATTCAGCACTAAATGCCCCACACCCTAAGAGACTCCTGAGTCCTCAGCAAACAGAAATTTGGCACCCTAGACTTTACGAGGGGCTTCCCAGAAGCTATACTGCATGCAGTGTCACAAAAGATTGAATGAAGAAACATTAGAATTCAGCTGTCCTTTCCTAAACCAGACATTAAAGGACTTTGTAAAATGAAAAAAACAAAGCTACTCTTACCACTAACTTTCTTTTTTCTTGTGGGGTTGGGTAGTTTTAATAATTTTCATTAAAATGTGTTAAAATGCATTTAGTCTAATGGGTTCATGGACCATGTGAACCTCAGTCTCCACAATACTGACACCAGAAGAACTAGATGGGACCCTGTTACCACACCAACTGCTCTGAAATGCACCACGTTAAAAGGTCCTGGATAGAGAGAAAATGTGGAACGAAACTCAAAATCATAACAAATAAATCAAGACCAGGCTTACTGGTTGGATGGGAACTGGTGGAACCCTTTGACTATGGCACTTAGTCACTTTAGGTCTGGAACTGAACACTCTTAGGCTCGATTTTCAGTCAAACAATAGACAGTTCTAGGAGGGGAACGATGACACTAGTGAGGTAAGCACACCTTAGACTCATCAACCAATTGAGATCAAAAGGGCAGTGATTACCTAAGGACACTATTCAGTGAAGTCAGGACAGGAGGAGGAGTGGAAACAAGAAATACAGAGAAGAAATGGATAAGTGATGCTACTTACAAAGAGACTGCAATCAATGACATGAAACAAAATGTGTAGGAATTGCTGACTGTAAAACATGATCTGCTCTCTAAACATTCATCATTATTTTTAAAATGTTAATAAATATTCTTATGTTTTGGTAAGTATGCTAAGTAATACATATGAACCGGTACTTTCTTAAGATTCTTTAGGATTCAGAGATTCTTCAGAATTCTGTGTTCTTGTTTCCATTCCTCCTCCTTACATAGCAATTTTTAAGTTTTGGTCTCATGATGTCTTTTTTTTTTTAGTTTTTATTGTGAATTGAGTGACAGTTTACATGTGAGAACCTCAGTTTTGCATTATCATTCAACAGTATTTGCTTCTATTCCCTCAGGGGGGTTGTTTGGTTTTTTAAAATATACACAAAAACACTCAGGAATATATAACCATTTAAACAATCAAAAGGCACTTTCTGCAAGCCTGCGTCCTGGCTGCCAGCACACAGCCTTTCTCTTTCCATGAGTCTGGAGTCCTCAGATGCTTTATCTCTCCAGGTCTCATGATGTCTTACATGCTATACAATTATTAAGGAGTACTGGTGTAGTGCCAACACTGAACTGCAGATCATAAGCTCAGCAGTTCAAACCCACCACCCACTGGTCAGTTCTTGGAAACCCTACTCAGGGTCACTATGAGTTGGAAAGTTATTTCTAAGTGCCTTTGAGTCCCTATACCAGGACTCCTACAACAATGTTGCTGTTGTTAAGTGCCGTTGAGTCAGTTCTGACTCATAGTGACCCTGTTTTGAGAAGTAAAAAGTACTTCCTCTTCTCTTTGACATACTTATTCTCACAGTTAGAATGGAGGCCTCATTTGTCAACAAACCTCTTGTGTCAGTCTGGAGCATTCCCTCCCGATGACCATGGGATTTGAAGGTTGAATGGAAGGTATCCAATTGCTTCTGAATGTTAACTGTGGCTATTTTGACAATATCAGCCGCCGATCCTTGGACTGTTGTGTTGATGGCCTGACGCTCAGCCTATGAACAACAATGGCAACTATAATGATCTGGGACTCTAGATTCCAAGCTGTGCACATGAGGATAGACTAAATATAGTAAGGCTAGAAAATTTCAGCTTAGAAATCTTACTCAATTAGGAACCCAAAACTGCATTGCATTGAGAACATATTTAGTAGCTAAAAATGACATTACAAACATCTCTCACCAGTGTTCTTTACACAGTAAAGGGTCTACTCCTCAACTCCTATTAATCCTAAAGTGATACAAGTACAGAATCACTATTCATGATACGGACTAGAATGTTGTAAGCATATTCGCATACCACTGGCTTCTAAGTACTGTGTAAAGTTGGGCCCCAGAAGGCTGGGAGCCCTCTGTTACACACCAGAGCTCTACCTGGACCACTGGGGCCAGTCATTAACTGGTCATTAAAATCTTGATCCTAGGTACTTGGGTATTAAGTTACAAGTTCCCAGAAACTATCGCTGCTGTGGGCTTCCTGGTAGATAACCATGGCTATTAAAATTAACCACCCTGGGAGTACAGGTAGAGGGCATAGATTAACAAGCAAGATGGCAACTGCAAATATAGGTGACTATCACTCCTCATGCCTATGTGTCAAATGCTGACGAATTCATTCTAAATTCATTTGGTAGTCACTATTTAAAGAGTGACTGAATTTCAGAGTTCCATTGACCATATTCCTTTGTGTAGTAGATTACATTATTCCTATTACTTGTTCCCTTTCTCTGTGAAATCAACACAGCCCCACCCATTGTCATGTGATTTGAAATGCTCTTCTTTGTAAAAAAGGATGGCCTTGATTTGCTGTGGCCAATGAAATGGGAGTAAAACTGACATACAGTCAGAGCTTCCAACCAGTTTAAAACCGGTTAGGTCGTGACTGCTGATGTGAAACTGGAACAGATCTGATTTTTTAAAATTGGGATGATCCAGAACATAACCGAACTAGGAAAAATTGCAGGTCCGAGCCTTGTCAAATGGGAGCCTCAGAAGGGGCACAGTGAGCCCTTTCAGGAACCTGACATGAAAGGCTGGATTATCAGCAGGACAGGGGGAGCACACACACCCAAAGTAGTGAGGTCGCACGTCATATTTGAGTGGTGCAATACTGCTTCCAACTCTGTTCAAAATCTGGGGGCAACAGGTTTTGTTGCTATGTGCTGCCCTTGTTTCCTAAAAGGGAGATGCAGTTTCAAGAAAGCCTTCAACCCAAGCTTCACCCTAAGCGCCCCCCACCCCCCCAAGTTCAGGTTATCATTTGCATATCACCATGCATAGCACATCTGGTGTGGCACTGTATGTTAAGCACGGGACCAAAATGTCACTATGAAATGCAAGGTCAGTGGTTCAAACTCACCAGGCACTCTTTGGAAATCCTTTACAGAGTCACTATGAGTCGGAACCCACTCGACAACACTTAACAACTTAGCAAGATAGAGCTACCTAACACTGCCAGACAGATAATAGTATATTCCACACAGTGGCATTTCCTTTATTCTGAAATCCGTAATGAAAACAACATGCAAAAGAGTCAAAGTCAACCCAGAGCCAAACTGTAACATGAGCAAGACATATAGTTTATCATGTTGTTGTTGTTAGGTGCCATAGAGTTGGCACCGACTCATAGCGACCTTATGCACAGCAGAACAAAACAATGTCCAATCCGGGGCCAACATCACTACTATTGCCACACTTGAGTCCATCAATGCTGCCA